GAGCAAAGAATATCAGCGACACCACAACTTTTCCCAGTCGACTGAACTGTCCAGAAGTGTTTGCACATTCCGTAATGCTTTCAACCAGCCTATTGCACTAAATTGGAAGTTAATATTACAACCCGTGCGCATGTCATTTGGCCCCAAAGAATTCATTAGCAAAGGATTTTTACAAATATATTTTCCAAATGCAAAAAATCACCGGAGTTGAAACCCCATATCTACTTAACCGAAACCCCACATGTGCCCCTGTACACGGTGATCATGTAGAGGCTGTAGGTATTCATTGATTTTAGTGATTAACATATTTTTCCTCAATTTTTGAACCATATATAGCACAAATTTAAAAACCCATATATAACCACCAACACGTGTCCTGTGACTTAATTCTGGCCTTACGCATGCGTCAAAATTTAATTCGAATTAAGTTGTAATTGGAGACAAACCATGGTCCTTAAAATAATTACTGGTAATTAATCTGATCATGTTTTTGTCATTTTGTAGGTTTTCCCACAGGTGCTTGAGGACAGGAAACCCCCCCCCCTCCCCTCAATACAGACCCCCGGGCCTGTTAGACTTTTTTCACATAAATTATATATGGATGACATATTTGTGATATAATCTATCCTATCAATTCAGAAAATTTGCTTAAACTTACATTTTATAAAAATATCTACCCTCTCTATATATAAATTAACAAGGTTGCCAACTTCGTCTGCAAACCGAGAGGCACTGCCGAGAATTTTGGTTGAATCGTCTCATAAATCTAAACAAAGCCCTAAAATCAAAAACTCATATTGTAGATTGAATATTCTTTTCATTAACCACCAACTCTCATGAAGGTTAAGGCACTTTAACAGTCGTTATGACCAAGTTTTCGAAAGGAAGTCAGGCTACAGTTAGCGTTTTTGCTTAGTGAAGGGAAGTGACGAGGAGACGACTTTTTACCAAAATACACAGTTCTGCAGAAAGTCTGAGACACTGTTTTGAAGTAAACATTTGAAGAAATTTGGTTGATATACACTTTAAAAAATGTCTTTCAAATGTATTGGGAGAATAGAGTTCTAACCCGCTTTGCAAATGAAATGTCTCTAATTATTATTCAAATACCTGATTTGCATGTGAGAGTTATGCCCTTTTAAAAATGCAATTTATCAAAATATCTTCTTTTCCTTAAATATTTGTGTAAATCTACAAAACGTTTGAAAATAAAATTATTATGAAGAATTCGTACAAAAACACAAGAATATATCCATTGTTGATATTTTACACGCATATTTGGGTATATGGGGAACATCGGGAATTAGTCCTCTCCTCATTACTTCCGTTCATTAAGCTTTTTACGGAGTTGGCAACCTTGTTGATTTTTATATAGAGAATGTAGGGTAGATTTAATAGAACGTTTGTTTTAGGTAATTTTTCGATTTGCTGGTATAGATCTTTTTACAAATATGGCAATGAAAGATTTTTTATAAGAAAAAAATCGAAAAAGCCCAGGGGTCTATATCGAAGGGGGGGGGGGGGGGGGTTCCTGTCCTCAAGCACCTGTGGGTTTTCCTACGATAAGTAGAATTTAGAGTAAATTTAAAATCAATCATCAAAAAGTTAATTCAAATTTAGAAGAAAAGAAATAAGTAAATAAAAAAGGGGGACTCCGAGATAGAACCATGTGAACGTCGAAGAGCCTGTGAACATGATATGGCAAAGGAAAAGAAAGAAAATATATGGTGTTTTTGTGTATACCAATTATTTGGCACGTAAATGAGGTTTTCCTTTGATTAAAATAAAAATCCTTCATTTTTTTGTTTTTAATCACGATTCTACGAAAACATCAGTATCCGTACGTGTTTAGTTTTCACATTTATAATAGAGTACTAGATTATTACCGGCCGCCAGGAGGCGGTCGGTTATTACCGGCCGCCAGGAGGCGGTCGGTTATATGATATGAAAGTTTGAAGTCGCTGTGCGTTTCTGCGGAGTTCAAACAATTTAGATAAAAAATATTTAACATTAATATAATAGTATATATTAAAAAGAGCGTCTAAATGTTAGCACTGGTTCTCTGCCCTTGATTCCAGTCGCTGCCGCTAGGAATTACAAGTTTTTTAGGGCGCGCCCGTTAACCAATGTCAGGGTACCAGTCTATCTAAATGTTTAACATGAACTCACAATAAACACAAAATTATTTTTTTTTATAAAGAATAAGGTAAATATTTCATCCAATCCTGATTGAGAAACTTTGACATGTTTGATGTGCGGAGAAAATTAGGACATGTGTTGGGCATAGTCTAAAGCACAGACCGCGTTATGTACATTGCACAAGTTTACTTTCTCTATTTAAACAGGATTTGTTGAACGTATTTATTTTAAAATGACGTGTACACACGTACATATATTAACATTTTCAAAAAATATGGTTAAATGTTAGTTCATCAAAAGACCTAGCAGGCTACAGAATATTACAAAATTTGCGCGTTTTACAATGTGCCAAGAATTTTCCTGAAAGAGTAGAAATGTATTGGCGGATCTAGAGGGAGTATCATGTTGTAAATTTTGAATTTAAATGCAAAATTTACAACATGATAACTTTATCATGTTGTAAATTTTGCATTTACCTCCCCCTAGTAAATTCAAAATTTACAACATGATAGGAGTTTAGTTTTTTTCCTGTAAGAGAGAGCAAGGAGCCCCACATATTTGCTGCGTTTTTATAAAATTAAAACTACATTTCATATGTAGTTGTAGATTACATTAAACTTTAGTTTTAAACTTTTAATGTAAATGCCTCTTAATTATACAGGCCCACGGTTTGTTGACGCAGAGGACCAAGGGTACTTTGCATATACATGTAATTCTGAACTAGCATTATACATGTAATTAAGAAAATCATGCAATGTCGTGCACAAGCGTTTCATGTCACGAGGATATATATTAACATATAAATATAAGATATTTTAAAAACAGATCACCATTTCAGTCTTTAGTTGCTTCATAAAAGGAACAATTAACTGGTTTGCGGCCGATTTTTGACGCTCGCGTCAATATATGTTTCTTGTACGGTATGATATGAAAGTTTGAAGTCGCTGTGCGTTTCTGCGGAATTAAAACAATCTAAATAAAAATATCTAACATTAATATAATAATATATTAAAAAGAGTGTCTAAATGTTTAACAAGAATGCACAATAAACATAAAATTAATTTTTTTTTAGAGAATGAGGTAAATATTTCATCCAATCCTGATTGAGAAACTTAGACATGTAGCACTGGTTCTCTGCCCTTGATTCCAGTCGCTGCCGCTAGGAATTACAAGTTTGGTTTTTTAGGGCGCTTGCGCCCGTTAACCAATGTCAGGGTACCAGTCTAACATGTTTGAGGTGCGGAGAAAATTAGGACATGTGTTGGGCATAGTCTAAAGCAAAGACCGCGTTATGTATATTTATGTATATTATGTATAATGTATATTGCACAATTTTACTTTCTCTATTTAAACAGGATTTGTCGTATGTATTTATTTTAAAATGACGTGTTCACGTGTACATATATAAAAATTTTCAAAAATATGGTTTAATGTTAATTCATCAAAAGACCTAGCGAGCTACAGAATATTACAAGATTTGGCCATAGCAGACGAGGATAATGCGCGATTTACAATGTGCCAAGAATTTTCCCGCTACAACTCAAAGAAACTGAAAGAGAAGAAATGTAGTGGCGGATCTAGAGGGAGTTTAGTTTTTTCCTCTAAGAGAGAGCAAGGAGCCCCTTATATTTGTTGCGTTTTTATTAAATTAAAACTACACTGCATATCTAGTTGTAGATTACATTAAACTTTAGTTTTAAACTTTTAATGTAAATGCCTCTTAATTATACAGGCCCACGGTTTGTTGACTCAGAGGACCAGGGGTACTTTGCTTATATATACATGTAATACTGAACATATAATTAAGAAAATCATGCAATGTCGTGCACAAGCGTTTAATGTCACGAGGATATATATTAACAGATAAATATAAGATATTTTAAAAACAGATCACCATTTCAGTCTTTAGTTGCTTCATAAAATTAAAGGAACAATTAATTGGTTTGCGGCCGATTTTTGACGCTTGCGTCAATATATGTTTCTTGTTTACCCCTGGCAGGCAATCGGCAATCCTCGGCTGACTCCGCTACGCTCCATTCAAACCTCGGATGTGATAGGTGGAGGAATACGCATCAGATCGCTACATTTCTCCGCCGGAAAGTGCCTTGTCACTCATTTCATATTTCGCTCTGCCTAAAGTTCTTAGTAAAGGTTTCTTTATTTGTGTAATTCCTCGTGTTAATTACAACCAAATGTTAGTATTCTTTGAAAGTAAGAACACAGTGTTGGGCGTGCATCAAAGTAACTGGGATTTAAAAAGTATAATATTTGAATGAAATTCAAATAAGATCACATGACTGAATCAGCAAGATGGAAGATCACCGTTGACGTCCGAGGTTATGTGCGAGGTACATCTGATTTAGTAATAAACACACAAATTTGTCAAAGTTTTTACGTATTAATGAATTCATTTAAACCTAGAAAATGTGCCTGAAAAGTTTGAATAGTTTCTGTGCACCTTGAAAAGAGAAATCGCCAAAAATCAAAATCCCTGACCGTCGGGCTTCGGGAAGACGGGTACAAGTTAAATCGGCACCTGGTAAAATCGGCACTTGATAAAAAAGTCAAATCGGCACCTAGTGAATTCGGCACCTGGTAAATTCGGCATCAGAATCTGGTGAATTCGGCACTTATTATTATTTATTTTACATTTGATGCATAATTGCCAATTATTTCGTTTTTGTGACAATTGTGATGAATAGAATAAAATTGTTTACATAGAAACTTATCAATAAAATATTAATAAATTAAGTAATTGACATTCGCGTAATTGTCAAAGTAATAAAATTGTCAAAGGGGCTACGTACGACGGTAAACTTGTGTATCCCTAGTACACGAGATATAGGGATAGGTGTCACAGTATGAAGACTGAGGAGGATGAAGAAATTCCAGCAACAAGCAAGTTCAGGTGTCACTTTTACCAGTACACAAGGTATAGGGTGAGGTGTCAGAAAATGAGGAGGGTATATTTGATGGTTTTAAATTCAACATATCACTTGTTTCTACATCGCCAAGAATATATCAACAATGACAGGTATGTAAAAATAATTTTTATAAAACACATTTACGATGTGGTCTAACATTAAAATGCACAGATTAATTTGCTCTATTGTCCCCCACGAAAATTTGTGATGACAATTATCATAATCCAAATTTTAATTAAAAAATTCAAAATTTATGGAGGAAACTAGTTCAAACAATGGTTCAAAATGAAATAGATCTACATTTATTTTATTAACCAAATATACGTAGAAAACTAAAAATTACGGGTGAAAAATGAAAAAAAAACTTCGATGAAAAAATATTTAATTCACGTAAAAAATAAAAAGAAAGAAAAGAATGGACAAGACAATAGGCAATTACCACAGTTTTATTTAGAGATTCGTTTTGTTTACAGCTTCGTTATATTTCAGTTTTCAAAATACATGTATGAGAGTCCTTTCCTGAACAAGTCCGTAATATTCATAATTGTTGTTGGTACAGATTTAATTTATTTATAATTAGAATTGAACTCTTAGATATATATATATATATATATATATATATTTATAATGTATAATGATTATCAGGAGACTTAAGGATAAATTTTACAAGTACAAAGAAAATTGAGATTATGATTATTGCGCCGTTCGACATTTTTAATAACTTAAATCTGAATTTTTTGTAATAAACCATACATAACGGTAATATTTCAATTGCCAGATATTTTTTCCCAACTAATTTCAATTTTCTGTATTAAGTAATAATCATCTATGGTCATATACCAGGTGTGTTGCATCTCCATGATATAAATTTTTACAACCTAATTATGCGACCTCATGTAGATTTATATGAAGCTTACTGCTGTTTATATATTTATTTATTGTGCTTGAGTTGTTAATTCCATCTCTTTATTTTCTTAAAACCAGGTCACTGGTACAATAGTGTACAGATTTGTGCTAAAAGTGAAGATAATTTTATTTTTTCTCTATATATAATATTTGAAAACCTTTTTAAGGTACCCCGATCCTCAGGTTCTGAAAATCAAGCATTGACTAATTGAAAATGCTTACAAAAATGTCTCTGAATTTTCAAAGTAACGTGTTTTTACACATAATAATTCTTCAAACTTCATCTCGCAATTTAATCATATTATATAGAGAAAATTAGTAAATTTCAAATATATTTTCAGGAATAGCGAATAAAAACACCTGCTATGCATTTTCCAATTCAAATTTGATCAATTAACATATCTTAAAAATAAAAATCGTAGGTATCCAGGCTTTTTAAGAAATTCCACAATTTTTATACATATAATGTATTTTAAGGTCATACACAACGTAGTTTGAATTTTATTGGGTTCTTCCCTGGAATAGAAGAGTTCCACTTTATGAAAGACCTGTGTGCAATACTTTTAATGTATATATGTGGATTTGTACACCTCTCCTAAAACAAATTTTGATGGAAAAATTTCTGGAATTTATGTTTCGTAATTTTTGTAAATTTTTCTTTGAATAATGCAAAAATTTTCCAAATTTGATAGCTTTCAAAACCCCTGGTAACGCATGCTGACTTTTTATCTAAGAACATGTAATGATATTATAAGTTTAAATGTATCTAATATATCTTGAAAAATTATCAGTAGGTAAAGTACCTTGCGTATGACCTTAATTTCTTTTATTTATGTCTATCGTTTTACCATGCAAAGTTTAAAATGATTCTCCTGTCATTGCAAAGCTCCATCAATCACTTCTTTTTTCATATCATGTAAATAAACATTGATATCTATGGTTAGATTAAAATGAACATCAATTTCTTGATATATGTAATTTTAAAATTCATTTAAAATTCATTTACGGGGTAAAAATTTCTACTTTTAATTAGACTTTTCCAAGAATTTCAAAAAACCTTGAAGCACATTGAGAGGTATATAATGAAAATTGTTGTATGAAACTTACAAATTTATACTAACTTATGATTTATTATTATGTTTAAAGTTAGATTTGAATTTCCTCTCAACAAAAACTCCAGGGTTTCTGCAGCGCAGTATCTGGGTAGATGGCAATCGCCATATCATTTTTTACACTGAGAGACAGTTGCAGTTGTTAGGCAAGGCAAAGACATGGTACATGGACGGCACATTTGGTGTGGTTAACAACCCCTGGAAGCAGTTGTTTTCAATTCATGCTTTTGTTAAATCTGGTGACCACATGAAACAAATACCCCTTGTTTTCTGCATCATGTCTGGAAGGAAAAAAGAAGATTATTACCAAGTAAGTCATTTATTTAAAAGTACATGTAAAAAAATATAAATGTATACATATTGTTAAATATGATTATTCAAAATCATTAGTTAAGTATTAAATGTAGTAATTGTAGTTTCATACATTATTTCAATCAGGTACTGAGGTTCATTGACTATCAACTGCCAGAGCATATTTCTTTGAGAGGTTTCGTGGCAGATTTTGAGGCTGGTTTATGGCAAGCACTGAAGAAACGCTTCCCCCATCATGCCATTCAAGGCTGTGCCTTTCATTGGTCACAGGCTGTCTTCAGGAAAGTCCAGGAACATGGTCTACAGGTACATAAAATAAGTAGATAAAGCTAATCCAAGTTATTTTCAAGTCTATTTCTCAAATGATGATTAGAATCTCTACAATTTTTCGTAAACAAAGAAAAAAAATAGGAAAGCTTAACTATTAAATAATAATAATTATGACACTGATTAGATCTATAGAATAATTCTTTTGCATGGCAATTTGGATTTATGTATTACATTATGATTAATGTTAACTGAATGTTTACGTACACCTTTCAGAGAGCCTACAATGAGAGGAACGATGTGTACCATTTTGTGCCACAAGTTCTGGCATTGCCATTCCTTCCACCAGAACACATTGAGGACACCTTCCATCAACTGGATGCGCGAGCTCCAAGAGCCCTGGTACCTGTCATGGACTATGTCTACAGGACTTGGATCACCAGCACGGTATTCAAGATTGACTCCTGGAGCATATTCATGACAGCTATCAGGACAAACAATGATGTAGAAGGTTGGCATAACCGCCTTAATAGTGCCGTGGCAGTGAGAGGACCAGTGCCCTTTTACAGCCTTATTCAAGAACTCTACAGAGAGTCCAAGGACATTCCCCTGCAACTGAGGCTGGTGACTGAGGGAAAGCTGCAACGTTACCAGAGAAAACAATCCAGACATGTCCAGGGGAAAGTTTTCAAATTTTGGAACAAGTACTGTGAAAGAGAGATCAGTGCTAGTCGATTGCTCAAAGAGTGTGCAGCCATCTATGGACCTCCTGTCCAGTGAAAAACCCTTGTCACAATTTTTAAGTCTGAGAATGAATAAATATATTTTATTTTATACAGCATTTATAATTGCAGTTGTTAATTTTTGAAGTTGCCAAGATCAACAGTATATAAATAACTCTTCTTCCCTTTATGGATCGAATGAACTCAAAAGTTGAGTGTCGATACTCCAGTAAAAAAATTCTCATTCAGATGAAATTTGTTGGATACTTGTGCAATTTTTGCTTTAGAATACAATTTACTAGATTAGGATTAGAACTATATTTTTGTAAGTAATATTGTGTAATAGATGCCTGACTTGAGTAATTAATATATTGACTATTAAAAACTTGATTTTTTCCCCAGAAATTCTCATTATTGTTCTTATTTTTTAACATCGGATGCGGGATAAGTACTATGGTATATTTAATGTTTTATTATGAACATTACTAAAATAATATACAGTTACCATTAATTAGGCAACAATCCAATGGTAAAGACATGAAGGGAAAAAACGTGTGTCTCCACTGGCACGAGTATTTGTTGATTACATTATTTTGAATACCGATCCCGATTTGCTAAACATACCTGGTTGAGTATTTTTGAAAAGAAAGTTTACATTTCATACAAAATAGCAATTTTTATAACTGTTCCAACTGCTTTAAAGGCCAACCTTCTTAAGTGCCGATTTAACTAAGTGCCGATTTAACTAAGTGCCGATTTCACTAAGTGCCGATTTTACCAAGTGCCGATTTAACTAAGTGCCGATTTTACCAAGTGCCGATTTAATTAACTACCATTTTGTTGATATGACAGAGTACTGCATGAAACAATGCATGTTTAAATACAACATGTACAATGCCAAAAAAGATCATGAAAATATTTGTTTTTAATCTCAAAAAATTGTTTTTAACATTAACTCCAGATGAGAAAAGTTCATCATGTTATCTATAGATAATAAACAAGCACAACTACTGTATTAATATCATAAATAAAATGATTATCAGATTAATTATTTAGACACTAAAAAACTTACTATCTTTATGATATTGATTTCCATTATCAGATGTTTTTTATCCATTTTTTATCCATTTTAAAATATAAACATTTAAATAAAACAGAATTAAATAAATTAAAATGATATCTCATTGAAACTTTACCTTCAAGTTTGATTGTTTCTATGTTGGTTGACTAACTATGTATTTCCAAAGGAATTTGGGCAGACAGGCTGAACTTCATAGAGAATGGATTATAGATGGTTAGGAATAAAACATATCTTCCAGGTTGAGGACTGTAGAAAATATAATCATTTTGTTAATATGACAAGGAACTGCATGAAACATTGCATGTTTAAATACAACATGTACAATGCCAAAAAAGATCATGAAAATATTTGTTTTTAATCTCAAAAAATTGTTTTTAACATTAACTCCAGATGAGAAAAGTTCATCATGTTATTTAAGGAATGACTCTAATTCTTGGCCAGATTATCGAGTATAATATGGTTTGGGTCAGTTTACGCTTTATAATCCGCGAAGCGGATTATAAAAAAGCATGTTCCTTATAATTTAATTTTAAAATAATTAAACAACTGGGGATGTAAAATTGTGTTGTTTTTATTAGTTCAAATTTACCGCGCAAAATATAGTAACGGAAGTGATGGGAAGCAAGAGGGGAATACATAGATCTAGCAGCCATGATGCTTGTTTAATGAGGTAAGATCGAGCAACTGTTTGAAGTTAAAGGTACATTCATTAAATCTGGAATTTTTCATGAATCCCAAGGACTGGAAATGAGGGGATTGATGGATACAGATGATTCAGCTGGTTGTCAAGGGGGTGTGTCCCCATACCAAACCAGATTATACAAAATGTTATGCGTTCCTTTTTGGAAATCAACCAATGAGAGACAAGAATACAAACAGAATTAAATTATCTATAGATAATAAACAAGCACAACTACTGTATTAATAAAATGATTATCAGATTAATTATTTAGACACTAAAAAACTTACTATCTTTATGATATTGATTTCCATTATCAGATGTTTTTTATCCATTTTTTTTTTATCCATTTTAAAATATAAACATTTAAATAAAACAGAATTAAATAAATTAAAATGATATCTCATTGAACTTTACCTTCAAGTTTGATTGTTTCTATGTTGGTTGACTAACTATGTATTTCCAAAGGAATTTGGGCAGACAGGCTGAACTTCATAGAGAATGGATTATAGATGGTTAGGAATAAAACATATCTTCCAGGTTGAGGACTGTAGAAAATATAATCATTTTGTTAATATGACAAGGAACTGCATGAAACATTGCATGTTTAAATACAGTGCCAAAAAGTTCATGAAAATCATAAGTTCACCATGTTATCTTTGGATAACAAAAGAAGCACAGTTACTGTATTAATATCACAAATACAAAATGATTATCAGTGTAATTTTAAGACACTAACAGACTTTCTCTTAACAGCATATTCAATTTTGTTTAATACCTGTCAGTACAGCATACAAAAAGATATTAGCATATACAACATGTAGTCCTACATTTTTTGAAAAGCTCATTACCAAGAAACAAAAGTGAAAATGAAAATATATGTATGCCATATATACCACATATTTAGAATCAAAACAAGGATAAACCTTTTGTAGATTCTTACTTTTTCTTTTATTACATTCCTTATAGATCACAATTTAGTAAGTCTGAATTCCATGGGTAACAGACATAATGAATTATGACATTATATCATAATTTATGCAAAAGGACTTATTAACAATATGAAGTTTCCTTAGTATATTTTAGACAAAATAAGACTGTGCTTATATGAATGTTAGAGATATTAGATCACATAAGAATTACACAGTAATTAAATTAAACCATATAATCATGTTAAATGCAAAGATGACCTTCATAGGAAATGTAAACAAAACAAAGACAAACTTACCAGAATTATCCAATTATATGCCCAATTAAATAATCCAGTGAAACAACATCTTAGCTGATCCTGAAAAAAAGCATACAATATTCAGTGATACACAAATTAACCTCATTTTACAAAGGAAGTAAAGCAACAATTGACAAACAAACAGGACAGAAATGTAAAAGATACCATATGTATTTTACCAAAATTTAGTAAACATTTTTTCTGATTTAAATTCAATCACAGAATGACCCATCATAGTAATATTAAATACACTCTGGGTTACATGCAAATTATACCTTACATGAACTGAGAATAAATACCTCATTTACATTCATATAAACTGAATTTTACATAACTAATTACTCTTTTAACTGATGTCACCATTAGTATGTCAGAATATTCAGGGTGAACAAATCATACATATTCACTTTTAAAGTACTCAATATATATTTTACATGTTGATGTTTGAAATCACTGACTAAATAAAATACATACATGTATATACATGAAGGTTTATAAAAAGGGGGGCACACATGTTTATAGATTTACAGAGATGCTCAGACTGAGTTTTTCCCACTTTCATTGGGCCACTGTTGCACCAGAATGTAAAAATATGAGTGACAAATAAGGCAAAAGATTCTGTATATTTCATTAAAAAAGATTTGAGACAAAAGATTCATTGGCATAATATGATCTGATTGATTATCTCCATATCCTTCTTTTGGTCACTGTGATTAAAGATTCATAGAAATATTAGAAATAACAACTGAGAATATCACTTTAGTTGTTTTAAAAGCATGTATCAGTATTTTATAAGATATGCTAGGAGTCTCCTCATAAGAATATTTAGAATACTGATCCAATAAAAGGAATGTGAGACAATATGATCATAACTCATGCAAAAAAGATTTATCAACATTTTGAAGATCTTTAAGTGTCCTAGTGTATTTCAGGGTAAACAATGGCAGTGTTTGTATGAATGTTCTAAACATAAGGTATATAACACAGTAATAATGAATAAATACAAAGATGACCTTCATAGAAAATGTATAAAGAAAAGTTTGTTAAAACTTACCATGTAACCAGGTAACTCAGTAGAGTATTATTCATTAAATAATCCAGTGAAATAACATCTAGGCTGATCCAGGATTCAGCTGTTCAGAACTTTCTTGGAAGAAAAACGGTAGAAAATCAGTTTTGGTACTGAAACCCATAGGACCATACTGTTATTACATGAATTCTCAAGCGCTGTGAAAGTCTGTGTTATTGTATCAAAATAAGCAGCCATCGCGGCTTGTGAAGGACTAACATGACGTCGCTGCCAAGTTTATGACGTCACAATGCATAGGTAAGCATATTTTTTGCACAAGGCCCTAAACAAACTTGAATCGCTGCCAAGTATTTACCTGTGTAGTCAGCATAAAAAAAAACGTAGGTCTATCGTATTTTTTGCACAGGGCCCTTACAGATGATGCAACAGGTATAAAAGTCGCTGCCAAAATCGTAGTAGCAGCGTTGTGAATCGTAGTAGCAGCGTATATAGTATAATGTAAACACAGTGTAAACACACCCCGGTATTTAGGGGGATTATATGTACTAAATTGACCCGGCTATCCCCCACAGACCCCCTAATCTGCACTCCCTTGACCCGCCTATCCCCCACAGGGGCTGCACTCCCTTGACCCGGCTATCCCCCCAGGGGCTGCACTCCCTTGACCCGGCTATCCCCCAGACCCCCAATCTGCACTCCCTTGACCCGCTATCCCCCCAGACCCCCCAATCTGCACTCCCTTGACCCGCCTATCCCCCCAGCCAATCAGAATCCAGCATTTTTGACCTCATTTGCATAAAAAGTGCACTCAGTTGACCCGGCCATCCAGACGGTTTATACTACTCATATGCAACCACTTGTAAAGTGGGTATTATGAGAATATGGTGAGAATATTATTTACACATCAGCTAGCTGTGTTGTTATGTACTGGGATAGAGAGGCACCCCTGTGTGTGTACATGCAATATATACACAGCTGTTGACACTTGGTCAAGTTGACAATAAACTTCTTTTTGATCAAACACCTGTTCTCAGCTAGTCTGACCAACCCCCCTCTGGCAGGGCATGTGTATATATACACTGAACCTTGACTATGCTCAATTGTTCTTGACTTTCATTATCAAATTGTAAAATAAATGATTTTATAAAATAATCTTTTATTTTAAAAAATATTGATATGAAATGGTAATATGCTTTAAATACAAATTTTTATTTTAAGGACGTTAGCACACACATAACGAAAATATGAATTTTGATTATTTTGATACTAATATTAATAATGATAAATTAATAAAGACCTTTTAAACTAGTAATACCTGGAAAATATTCATAGTTTCCTTATGTTCCCAGCTCTAGCCACGTGGAGGCCTCCTTAATTGTAGAGCCATGATTTGAATTTTGAAACAGCTAGAAAAATATTACAGTCAAAGGACCGAAAGATGACCGAACGATTAAAAGAAAATTAAAAAAAATTAAAAAAGACTTATTTTAATAAAGATACTTTATCATTATTCCTAGTCAATCTTTTGTTCATGTATAAACATATTACAGCCAAATGAAAGAAATTGACATAAAATTGAATAACATTATAAAAAATTTCATAGAAAGGAATTTATAATTTAATTAGCAACATAAAAAAAAAATTATGTTTCTAACCTAACCTAACCTAACCTAACACAACACCAAACAGTATTCACTGGTCTGCACCCATCTGGTGGGGAATGAATACTGCCTGATACTACCCCTACTCTAGAAAAAATAATAAATATACAATTTTAAAAACATTTTTGGGTTTTAATGGTTTAAGACTGGTTTAAAAGTGTTTCTGCAAGTGGGAGAAAAAGATATATAGTCATCTTCTCTGTCAGATATAGTGTTAGGAATCCAAAACATTACTGAAAAACTGTTAAGAAATGATTCGGTTCAGAAAATATTTATTGGAAGTCTGTTTAGGCAAATGATTTGTGGAACCATGGATCCAGGAAAGTACAATTCTACTGTTTTTGACATAAATAACGCACTACGAAGGAAATATGGGAATTCTCAGAATGTGATATTTTGGAAAGATGTAGGGGTTTAATGAATTCAAATAAAAACATTTGGCGTGAAGATGAAATTAGTTTGAACAGAGAGGCAATGGAAATTTTTAGTCGACAGATTCAACTGGCAATGAAATGTAAAATTACATAAAATACCTATGCTTGGAGATGATAAAATATGTCGGGGGTGGGGTGGGGTGGGGGCATTTAAAATTTGTACAGTCATGGGTTAATGTCAATCTAATTAATTTATAAATACCAGTATACCAACAAGTGTAATCCAGGGGCCTACTAACTGGAGCGGATCAAAGATCTAATTTTAATTAGATTGGGGTTAATGTATAAACTAAACGAACTAAAACTGATCTTGGACCCTCCACGTAGAAAACGCAGATCTAACATTTATATCTCTTTGTTTTTACAAATAAGATATGTTGTACATGCATAGATCTAGAGAGAGAGAGAGGTCCGGACCACCCCTCTGAACCCTCAGCAGTTGGCAGTAAGCAGTTGGCTGTCGTATATGGCATTCCATAAAAAGGTTACTTTGAAATAAAATATCTATATATTTGAAAATTGATATATTCTTTTAATTTACTATTTCTTTCAAGGTTTCAGTATTTTCATATTTTGACATTGATTTACTTTCTGTTCTCTTTTAACATATAAGTAATTATTATTTTCATTTTTAAAATTTAATTATTATTATTATTGCTTTGAACCTTTGAATTTCATACTTTTATATTTCTAAATTCATAAATTGTCTAAAATCTCAAAAATAAATTCAGTATTTTCATATTTTGAAATTTATTTATTTTTTTGTTCTCTTTGAAACATATAAGTAATTATTAATTAATTATCATTACTATTTTTTATTATTATTTTTGCTTTGAAGATTTTGGATATAATCATATCTCTAAATTATGAATAAAAAGCAAATTAGCAAGATAAGACTGTCATCACATAATTTAGCTATTGAAAGTGGACGCCATAGAAATATTTTGCGCGAAAACCGAATATGTGAAGTCTGTAGTTCTGAAATTGAAGACGAATTCCATTTTGTTTTAAAGTGTCCATGATACAAGGATTTACGAGTAAAATATATTAAAAAATTCTACTGGGAAAAACCATCTATGTTTAAATTCATACAGTTGTTATATGTACATAATGTTAAGGACCTTTGTAATTTTGGAAAGTTTTTGTACCATGCTTTTAACTTACGTAATGAATGTCATACTGCCTTATAAACAATTTTTTAAAAAATGGTTTGTACATTCTCCATCATCATGATACTGATTGTATAATTATTATGCTGACTGTTAAAAAAAATACCTGCGCTATGCTTTACTGTTTACATGTTATAAATTTATATTGTATACAATAAGATGTATGTCTTACGTAATAAAGTGAATTGAATTGAATTTCTCTAAAATCTCAAAAATAAAAAAAAAAATCTTAAATTATCTTAATGGCTAACGTTCTTAATTAAAAAAAATATTTATTACATAATATTTGATATATATCTTGCATAACAAACATATTAAAATTAAAATGAATAATTTTAACTTTATCAATACGATGATAAACAGCAGCTCGCTTCGAAATTAGATCGGGCGTGGTGTACGGTAAACAAGTAATGGCGCCCGATTTCTGTCGACTTTGAGGTAAAATTGGCTATAAAAATTTACGGATATCAATATTGTTCATTTAAACATCACCTTAGGGTTTTATGTACCCTAATTCATTCAATTTTATGGGGCTTCTACCACTTTACTGGGGCTTCTACCCTTCTGTGTGGGTATTCTCCAAAAAACGGGGGGCTTCTGGAATTTCCAGTCACCCTTCGGGAAGACTAGATATACCGCTTGCCGCTTACCGCTTGCCGTTACTACTCGGCGCTACTTCCGTCGAGGCCTCAGAGAGACATTTGATTTTTCATTATTTTTGTGAGTAAACAAACTAAAATTTGCGAGACTTAAAACAGAGGGAAGCATCCGAAGAGTTTGTCTGTAGGAGTTTACCGGAGACATACGGCGTTGAAAATTAACTTTCTACTTTTCATCAGTTTCATTTTGTGGGATGAAAATACCAGTTGCCGTTGAATTCAGGTTTATATATTTATATATATGTGTGTGTGTACATGTGATCAATAGGGGCCTACATATACATTATACAGTAACGCTATTTATCATATCATTGCATTGACAGGTCTTGAAGGGGACCACGGTGGTTTGGTTAATAGCTATAATCTACAGCGTCGTGCCATAAGTATTCGCGGAAAAATGGCGGACGTGATTTGAGAGTTATCGCGCTTGCAACATAAAAGTCACCCAAATACAACAAAAACAAAACAAACGCTTACCTTTAGTACTTTGTTAAATGTCCCTTGGATCGTATACATGCCATGATGCGTTTTGGGATGGATTTATAAAAGTTTTGAATATATTCTATGGTGAAATTCTGCCAAGTGTGTAAAATAACATCGAACAGCCGGTGCGTCGATTTACCCAAAAGGACCCAAAAGAACCCAAAAGGACCCAAAAGGAACCCAAAAGGAACCCAAAAGGACCCAAAAGGAACCCAAAAGGACCCAAAAGGAAATTAAGAACGACCCAAAAGGACTTGAAATAAAGAGATTAAATGGATATATAATGAATACTTTCATATTTTATTAAAACTAAAACTAGTTTTTTGAGGGTAAAGTGCGTGTTTGGGTTGAGGTGGGAGCCCCCCCCCATCCCCCACCCCACCCATCCCCGATACCATATGCCTAGAACATGTCATTAAATAAACTTATTTCTTTATTTATCAAATATCATATAATAAGATATAATAAAACAGAAGGAGAAATAGAATAATACAGTGCACTAAAATTTGTTAAATTCAGCTAAAAGAAATCAAAGCATATCTGACCAGATTTAATTAAGGAATGACTCTAATTCTTGGCCAGATTATCGAGTATAATATGGTTTGGGTCAGTTTACGCTTTATAATCCGCGAAGCGGATTATAAAAAAGAATTAGAGTCATTCCTTATAATTTAATTTTAAAATAATTAAACAACTGGGGATGTAAAATTGTGTTGTTTTTATGAGATCAAATTTACCGCGCAATAATACAACCGTAGTAACGGAAGTGATGGGAAGCAAGGGGAGGTAAAAACTGATACATAGATCTAGCAGCCATGATGCTTGTTTACATGAGGTAAGATCGAGCAACTGTTTGAAGTTAAAGGTACATTCATTAAATCTGGAATTTTTCATGAATCCGAAGGACTGGAAATGAGGGGATTGATGGATACAGATGATTCAGCTGGTTGTCAAGGGGGTGTGTCCCCATACCAAACCAGATTATACAAAATGTTATGCGTTCCTTTTTGGAAATCAACCAATGAGAGACAAGAATACAAACAGAATTAAATTATTGATTGATGTGTTATAAAAGTCGTATGTTATTTCTTTAAGAAAAGTTGCAACAATATAAATGTATGTTTTTGCCAATTTTTAGGTAAATTTATAATATAATATTCATAATTTAATTCAAATTATTAATTTTCAATGTATTATAATATATTAGTTCGAGTCCTTTTGGTTTCCTTTTGGGTCCTTTTGGGTTCCTTTTGGGTCCTTTTGGGTCCTTTTGGGTTCCTTTTGGGTCCTTTTGGGTCCTTTTGGGTAAATCGACGCACCCTCGAAGAGCTGATCAGGGGTGGTAATATCTCCGACGTGATTTTGGATCTGTCTTTTAATTCTATGCCAACAATTTTCAATGATATTAATGTCCCGACTCTGGGCAGGCCACACCATACCCCGAATATTATTTGCACATTTATATTCCTCTACAACACGAGCTCTCTGTACCGGCGCATTATCGTCTTGAAAAACGTATTTGTTTGCAGGGAAATGTCGGGCAATAACAGGCCACAGATGATTGTCAAGGATGTTTATATATTTCTCAGCATTAATGTTACCTTGTACCTTGCATAGAGTCCCTGGACCATACCAGCTGATGCATCCCCATATCATTACGGAAACTTTGGATTTTGAAATCGCATACATGCACTCCGGACGGTACGATTCCTGGGCGGATCTCCAGACATACACACGATTATTTTGCCCTATAACCACTTGAGATTCATCACTAAATATGATAGGTTTCCAGTTTTGTTCAACAGTCCATCTTTGTTTGAGTAAACACCATGCTAAACGTTTCTTTCTATTTACTTCTTTGACAACCATACGTTTCCTCACTACTCTTCTGTAAATTTTGTTATTATGTAAAATCCGCTTGACTGTCCGTTCACTAATAGGTTCACAATAATTTCCATCATTAAAATCAGTTGTTATGTCCTTCAAAACACTTCCAAGGTTCTTCCTAACCATACGAAGTAATCTTACTTCACCACGTTTTGACACTTTCCTGGGACGTCCCGAAGGAGGAGCTCTTTCCACACTTTTTCGCTGATGAAACGTTTTCAAAATTGATCTACATGTAGATTCGGGAATTTTCATAATTCTTGAGATCTCACTTACTTTATGTCCGTTTTCTTTCAAATCTATAATCAGCTGTTTTACCTCTAGTGACAGTTCTTTTGATTTTCTACCCATCTTGTTTACAGTCCGTAATATTCTGCAGTCTAACTTTAGCAGACGTCAAACATGACATCGCGGTAAACTTTGACCTTACGCAGTTTCGGGGATGATGTCAAAATACAAAAAAGCGATTGCATAATAATTTAGGACGATTTGAAAAAACGCGAAGCGTGAACGTTTTACGACGGCCGCCATTTTTCCGCAAATACTTTTGGCACGACGCTGTAGCTGCAAAATTGTAGCTATGTTGTATGTTAGTTTGCCCTAAAAATCAGTTGCCGTTCGCCCAAATTCCCGTTAGCCCAGAGTTCGGTTGCCCTAAACCTTGTTTGCACAGGGTCTGTTCCAGTTCGCTGTATTTAATCAGGTCCAGTACAATCTCTTGATTTAGCTATATAGCTCTAAATAGCTATAGAGCTTTATTAAGCTATTCAGTATAGCTTAATTTAGCTATTTTACAACACTTTTTTCTTAAAGGTGTAATTTTCTCAGTATGTACAAAAAAACGCACCTTGGTGCAGTGATGATATACAACTTTGAACTCTTCTTAAAGTGCATGTAAAAATCACTCATCAAATTACGTCTCCGTGAGAGACTTCGTACTCAAAGTTCTACAAGTTTTGGGGCTATATAAAGCAATTGATACAGTTACTTCTGCAATGATATTATAATGGAGACCAATTATGTTCAACAAGATAATTGATTGGTAACAGTTCAGCACAATGAGAAGTAATCATACTTTTCCTTGCCTCAAGGCACCCAAGGTAGTGGACAGTTAGTCTAACAATAGAAATTCTCTTTTTGCTTAAAAGTATTCAAAAGCTGCAAAGTTAGAACTATCTTTGATTTTGGTTGTTGTTTTAATAGTCCATAGTACATGTATGAAGAGTCAAATACATGCGACTTTTTGTTTATTTTCAGCAAAAAACATTTTTGTGAAAATCTTTATATAAATAGCTAAATAACGCTATTTTGAATAGCGTAATAAAGCTATATAGCTATTTAAAGCTATTAATATAGCTAAATCAAGAGATTGTACTGGACCTGTTAATATAGAATAAGAATTTTCATTTTCCATCTTCTTATTAAATCATTTCTTGAGATCAAAGGGAGAGATTCTTCAAAGGTATAATCTTCTTTATTCGCTGTTCAGTTCCGACAATGGACTTATTAATGCCCCAAGTCCTTCAATTGTTTTCAAAACATAGCACAATTCGTAAATATACCACGGATGTATTCCCCTAAGTAACATCAATATTAATCATCTAATTAACTATAATATAAACACTAAGACCCTCAAAAAACATTAGAATCAAATTAAAAATTATAATTAAGTCTAAATAAATATCATTCTTCGTATCATTTGAAAAATAAAAATCCCAAGTTTGAAAGAAATTAAAACCGGAATAGAAAATACATGTTATAATATTTAATTCATATAGTATTGGGTATATACAGCTGTATATAAATATAGGGCGAAGAAGATATTGGGCGAACAATATTTCGCTTGAATGGACTCCTGCTAACAGGTAGATCGAGCGAATGAACCCTGTACCCTCTCTGCTTGAGAAAATTCGGACAGATAAGGCAAATAGCTACAGATCCATGCATTGTACCGGTAAAACCTTTGATTAAAGCCGCTGATTTATTGTCTTGTTTGAACATATTTCATTGTATAATTCATACAAAGGGATTGGTAACAAGTTCTTGCAACTTAGATTAACCTTTCCTTTTAATATATACAATAATTATAACTATACTAATAGTGATTGCCAGAATGATTACTGTCGCTCGCTTTAGGTATTATTTCTGGACTGTTTAGCTTTCTCCAGCTTTAAGAATGATACCTGATAATCGATAAGGTGAAAAACAATAAATGCTATAAATAATACCTGAAGTGAGCAACAAAAAAGCAGTGATGAAGGTTTTTACAACACTTGGATTTGTAGCTTTCTCCTTTATATGTCTGAATTTTATCAGGCAGAGAGTTACAGTTCTGCACCTAGTAAATAGCCAGACATCTTGGCCCAATGAGACCTCAGCCCGTGAGATTCATAACTTGGGCCCAGAAAGGTTGGCCAAAAATTAATAACAAGCCGGACCATTTAAGACACACTCTCTAAGTATAAGAGATATCTCTCTAAGTACAGGAGATATCTCTAGAAGATATCTCTAGTTTAGGAGATATCTCTTTCTCATAGAGATCAATATCTCTTAAAAATGAGAGATATCTCTTTAATTTGGGAGATATCTCTATTTTTTAAGAGATATCTCTCTAAATTGAGAGATATCTCTGTAATTTTATGATAGATTTTATTTTCTGAATAAATAGCAAAAGGGCTTACCATGGACCTGTCGTATCCAAGGTGACATTGGGTCGAGATGTCATTGGGCCGAGGTGGGCCGAGGAATTATGTGGTAAAAATCTTTAAATAAACCTCCTCTTTACATGTACATGAATACCAAAGCCGTGATGAATCAGCAGTAATACAATGCATGTGAAAAAATTGTATTGTATTTTCCATTGCAGTTTCTATTTACTTGTGGATCTCGATCTAGAGACTCCTTTAAACCTTACAGCTTCCATTGATGTTTATCATGCACTTAGAATTAGTTTTTGAAATAATTTCCAGGCAATGGCTTGTGCCATTTGAATATATTTTAGATCTGACAATTAAGTTTTACAAACCATACCATATTATATTATTCATTTTCCCTCATATAATTTAGTGAGTTCCATTTCAGTGGTGGGGCCGAGTTGTTGTTCGACAAAGTGAAAAAGCATGATGTAGAACTGCCAAACTCTGAGAAAAAATGTAAGGAACATATTTCCCAGGAAGACTGAAGTTTATTTTTTTCTTATAAATTACTTGGGCAACAGTAATTATTAGTTCACAAGAACAAACTGCTCCAATAAGCTTTTCTAATCAAAGTTTATGGTGTGTCTTTGGGAGTACAGTAATTAAGACATGAATGAAGTTTGCAGGATACAATGTAATCCTAATGTCCTCTATGCCTAGCTCCAAGTCTGTCTAGCTCTCTTTCTGTAGAGTTAAAAAAATCTCTAATGCCAACTTGTGTTTTTTAAAATTTGTGGATATATTTTGCTATATGCTCCACATATTATAGATTAAATTGTCTTGATCTCGCAATTTTTTTACACTGTTGTGACTATTTGAAAGATTCTTTTTCAGTATATACTTTTAATTATTGAAATTTTTTTTTTTTTTTAAATTTAATGTAGTTTTGACAAAAACAGAAGAAAGCCTTTATTCAGAGAAAATGCAGACTAAACTTTAAATATGAATTTCATTATCCCCCCCCCCCCCCCTTTGGGACCTGAGGGTTGGTCAAGGCTTAAACAATCGAATTGGTGCCGTATCTCTTTCAATTTCTGGACATCAATCAGTCAAACTGTTGGCAAAATTGCAACAAGCATTGCAATTGAACCCTCAATCAAAATTTTGAAATTCATGGCACAAGGTTATTAAAGGGTTCTACTTCTGGAGTTAGGTTGGTTGGGATAGGTTGGGGTTTTAATGATCATACAGTGAAAATGCATTTGTATTCTTTTTATTCTTTTATTTTATTTTTTTTAAATAGGGAAAATACGTCATCTTTTGACATATATCAGAGATAACCTACTGAAAGAACGTCCAGAACTATTTATGCAAGGAGACACAGTGTGAGTAGAACATGGTTTAAATTTCCTTTCTGCCTACATGCTCTTTTGTGTTTTAATTGTTTGGCTCATTACTCTTTTCTTTTCAGAAGACCTGGAATCTTGGTGTTGGTCAATGATGCAGACTGGGAACTACTAGTAAGATATTTATATCAACAGCCTCTTAATTAGCTTAAAAATGCAATTTATTAATATAAACTTGAAGGTAGGATTCTTCTCTGGTTTCTGACTAGATGAAATATCAAAATATATTTGCTTATATAGTGTTGAATAATCGGGAAAATTTCATAATCGATAATCGGTCAAAATCGGAGAAGCTTAATCGATCAATGATTGACTTAATTGGTAATTAAAATTTCAGATACAAAATTCTATTTCTTTATAGCATTTATCATTTATGGAACAAACTAAAAATAAAATTTTATCAATTTTATTCTGAAGACAACTTTTTGTTGTATAAGTAACAAAGAAACAGAAAAAAAAATTACATATTTGCTCATAAAAACTAAAAATGTTTGTCACGACATCAGATTTTGCATTCCCTAGTTAGAATAATCTGACTGTGTCTCGGTACAAGCCACAGATAGAATACGTCCCATACACTTGCAATGTACTATAGCAAATCGGAGCAGATCCGCTCCGAAACAATTTTGAAGAATATAAAAGGATTTGCACTGGAAATAACTTCCAAATTAATCAAAACAAATCTGACTATATTCTTGGCGGAATGGTGGCGTATGAAAATGTCTTCTTTTCTGCCTCTCAAAATTCTTATAGAAAAATAAATTTAGTTATAATTTTTACATAACCAAAGGCTTTAAAAAAAATTCAAATGCTAGTAAAATTAATAATAAGGGACTTACGTTTCAAAATGTATAAAATAAATATGATTTTCCAAACAAATTAGAACTATGTTAACTTAGCTTGTAAAATCTCCCAATCTATAAGTACATATTTGAACCCATCTTCGCTAGTCAAGGGTGACGATCTTTAAAGAGGATAGGAGCGGATCATCACCCTTGGCTAGCAAAGATGACTTGAACCAAAAATCTGTAAAAAATTAGTATTTTTTCTCTCTTAGTAAACAATCAATTTTTTTTTTGTATCATTTTGTATCTTCATGTGACATTTCATCTGTTAAAAAGTAAGAAAAATTTAAATATAAGAAGCATATGAAAATAACAAATGTATCCAAAAAAAAAAAAAAATAGCCGAGAAAATTCGGATTAGCTAATATCCATTTATCCTAACAACTAAGGTTGGCTTCTGATATTTAAAGTCTTAAAAATTTTTTTGTCCAGTTTATTTTTATTTTCTATACACAAAGGTAAACTGAAAATCAAATAAAAATATGGGGGTCAATATATGCTTCTTTTGGTGCTACAGAACATTAAATATGACCATTTTTGCACTGAAATTTGTTTCTTAATCAAAAATTACATCTTCAACATTTTCCCTTCTGTATTTTTATCCAAATAAAGCCTGGAACAAAATAAACTAGAAGTCTATTTTAAAAAAGACACTTTAGAATTGTGACTTGGAAAAAGTTTCAAACTGCTTCGCATAATAAATTATTTGACCTTTCTGCACTCACAAAATGTGATTTTTCTGGCACTGAAAATTTAAGAAGCAAGAAAATTATTTTAAAGTCTTAAACTTTTGCAGAATTTAAGCAGATAGGTCAAAGTTATCTTAAATATTCAGAAAAGAACATCAAAAGTGGTGGTATATGATGTAAATATTGAGATATTACTAAGAATGTGTAAATTTTATGTTAAAATTGGCTCCATTTTTTCTTTGTCTTTCAGAATATATTGACTATACATGTATTAGTCATTATTCGTCAAAAGAATTCATCATGTTCTTAAGAACTAATAGAGAACAAGCATAACGCATTTCACTGCAAAAAACAGCTTTGTGTGCAACCAGCATGCATGGAAAAATAGGAATCTAAATTCAATGTTAAAACTTAAAATTATGCAGAATTTTAGAAATAAAGGTCCAGACCAAAAATGATTCAAAAACACAGGATTAAACGTCCTTAAATTATTTATGTCAGTTTGGTAATACATGTATTATCTTATATGCCCTATATGGTAGTATTTTTTTTTATGCAAAAAGAAAAACATTTGATCTTTTGAAATGAAAGTAAGGATCACATGGTTGGCAACATTACATTTTTCGTAATGTCCAGGGAAAAGGTAATGACCTTGACCTGAACTTGCCTCTAATATAAAATGGTCAAAGAGGGTGTTGCAGTTCTTTTGTTATTTTCCCTGAATATGTAGCAGATAAAAAGAAGAAATTTGTGTTACAGAAACTGATATTAATTTTACTCAAATGCAACAGTATAATAGTACAATGAGGAACAATATTTGGAAGCTGCATATTGACTTCTAATTTGCCATAAAATGAAGTTTAAATTAGTCTCACACCAAAATATGTAAGATTTTCGGATTTTTAGGTAGGGAATCCCCATTATTCTTAAAAATTGCCTACTTGAACACAATAATCTTGATATATGCACAAAAAGGCAGGAGTTTTCTTTAAAACTGCCATTTCCGATTTTCGTTTCAAAGAGGCACATTTTTTAAAAACGTTAAAAATGAGTAAAAATTATTCTCCATACGAAATGCAAAATGTGTACATAAATAACAATGGTCATCATCGTGTCCGAAATAATCTAGTGGATACGCTGATGGACTGCTATCTGATATAGCACTTTTACCAGAACATGGATTCGAATCCTGGAGTGGATCATTTTTTCTTAATTTTTTTTTCAATTTCTTTTTGCTATGGAAATGCAATGAAATATCAATTTTTTATAGGAGAGAGGGAGAGTGCACAAGATCTAGAGAGAGAGAAAGAGAATGTCAAGAAGTTAATGAGTAACAATATATTAAACATGCAGGTTTGAATTGTTTTCCTTGATATACTTTGACTTAAAACTAACGACATAATGCTTTATTATGCCCCCCTTCGAAGAAGGAAGGGCATATTGCTTTGCTACTATCTGTCGGTCTGTCGGTCCATTTAGTTTCCGTTCATTTTCTTCACAACCGTTGCACATACTGAAATGAAATTTGGTATACAGATTTATCAGGTAAATATTTAGGTCAAGTTCTGCTTTGGGTACAATCACCCCATTTCTCACAGAGTTATGCCCCTTGGACTTAGAAAACTTCCACTTATTTACAGTTTCCGTTCATTTTCTTTGTAGAGGTTGCACATACTGAAATGAAATTTAGTATACAGATTTATTAGCTGAATATCTAGGTAAAGTTCTGTTTTGGGCAGGACTGCACCATCAGACTTAAAAAAATTCTACTTATTTGCAGTTTCCCTTCATTTTCTTCGCAGAGGTTGCACATATTGAAATGAAAGCTGAAGGTCAAGTTCTGTTTTGGGTATAATCGCTCCATTTTTGTTAAGAGTTATGCCCCTTCAACTTGGAAAAATTCCACTTAATTGCAGTTTCCGTTCATTTTCTTTGCAGAGGTTGCACATATTGAAATGAAATTTAGTATACAGATTTATCAGCTGAATATCTAGGTCAAGTTCTGTTTTGGGTATGATCGCGCCATTTTTGATAGAGTTTATGCCCCTTGGACTTGGACAGTAATTACATGTATTTAACCCCGTATTAACACAGAAAAATTTCAATTTTGGGGAGGGGGCATAAGTGTTTTACAAACATTTCTTGTTTAGTACATGTATTGTTAAAATAATTTTTTTTTTTAACATAAGTTGTTTACTCATTTTGATTCATATTCCATCTCTTATATCAGTAGCCAAGATTTGACTTGAAACAAATGGAATGTCTTGGATGTAGCACTAACAAAGTGATTATGGGACATTTAATTTCATGAAAAATATATTTTTGCACAATGTCTACAGTATATAAAACTTTCAAAATGGTGTTTTTATTGTTCTAACCTTCCTCGTGCAAAATGGCGATAGTGATATACATGATTAAAAAAATTAATAAAATAAAAAGGACAACATTCACTAAAAGGTTGCCAATCAGTTCCTATGTGAGGAAAAACTATGCATGATATAAACCTAAAATGTGAAGAAGCAGGGAATATCCGCTGTAAGCATTGTCCCCTACGTTCCTGTATATATATATATTTAGATCAACATAACGCAGGTATTTAAATGTCCTTCTCGATACATAGGGAATAATTGTGAGTTTCTGCAACACCCTCTTTAATCTTAATGATACCATCTTTTAGTGATATTGTCTTTTTGATTCTGTGAAAATTTCATTAGTATTTAAATACAAGAAGAATCTTACTTTTAAATGTGGCATACTCCAAAGGTTGCTAATTTAGAACTGTGTTCCTCTATGATCTTTTATCTAGCATAACAGGTTGATCTTGCCTATGGACTGCTGTAAGTTTGTGCTATTTAACCTAAAAATCTCTAAGTTATAAAAAACCCACAACATTATAAGATGTTGGTTCAAAGATGTCTTTTTTTGTACACAATATGTGCTGAAAGTATGAAAATGGGTATTGCAAAAACATTTATCTGTGGGTTAGGTTGCAGGAACACTTGTTTCTATTTAATAGTTAACTAAATGTTTAATCTATACAATGTAAATGAAATTAAAACTAAATAGAGTTGAATATTTATGTTAGCGAATGCTGATTTATTTACTTGGTACCTTCATTCATTACATTTACATGTATTATCTTACAGGAACAGTATTGACTTAAATTTTCCATTTCATCCTTTTTATTTTCTTTTAGGGTGAACTTGATTATGAACTTCAACCAAATGACAGAATTGTATTCATATCTACATTGCATGGAGGATGACATTCCAAGAAATAATATTCATTAGACTTGTTTCCAAGCCATTCCCAGAACAATGGGAGTTAATGGAGAGTGACATGCTAAACACCGCCTTACTCTGTTACAGAGTTGAATTAAAAACAATTTAGGGCACACTAAATTTGTCTAAACTTTACACCCAGTGAACACTTTTCCATCAAGTGCAAAAGTGTACTCACTTTTACTTTGTTTAGTATATACATATAATAACTCTGCAAATTCCATCTAGATTCCTACATGATGAATATGCTCTTTAAAAAAAATTGCCTCTTCATAAAATGTTTTGTTTGTAAATGTATTTTTTTTTAAAAATCACAAGTACAACAAATATTTTTTAAAAAAATCTTCCGCAAATAGGATCCAATCAGCTGGTTGAAATTTTAATGATCATATTGAATATGCTACAATACACCCAATTTCACTTGAGTATAAGGTGTATATGTCTACAGCAGGTGAAGTATGGTGTAGACAAATCAAGCATGCCCATAAGTTATGAGAATTATTGCAATGTGAATTAAAACAAAATGAACCAATGTACTGTATGTATGTATGCATGAGCTCATGGAAAGAAAGATGTATAACTGACCTTGCCCAATTGTCTTTGGTTTACAAATATGACAGAATTCTAGGTCAGTTTTTTCCCAAATATAGCCCCAATCCTGACGTTTCATCCTCGAATACAAACAATATTTTGTACAGCCCATTTCTATGTAAAAGAGAAATTGTAGACTGAAAGGGGAAAGTGTACGGGCATATTTCAGTGTGATGGGAGTTAAATATTGGCTTGTATTTATTGATATGTTTACAATTATTCATTATAAATACACAATGCTTTCATTAGAAATACTTTGTTATACACACTGAAATCAAACAAAATGCCCTTTGCTAATATCTAACCAGTAAACCAAGGGTGTAAAAAGGGACCACGTTACTATACTTCAGTAGAATGTCTGAGTCTGTAATATTGGGTTTGGCTATTTGACCTTGGTTTGGGGTCATATCTTATTTATTATCATAATCAGCCTTTGGAACAAAGTTTGATCTTACGGTAACATTTTATTGCAAGAACTTCTTTACATTTTAATGTCTAGATGAGCATTGTCATAATACTGATGAGAAGAATTTAATTATTAACAAGAGGCCAAAAGGCCTCAACTTCTGATAAATTGTACAACTATCAATTCTATTTGAAACCTCATATTTAGATAAAGCCTTAAAATTCCAAAAGAAAGTAATCTTGATTATTGGTCAATACACTCTGAAAACTCAAGATGCATTAATTGACAAAGTTTGATGATTTTAAGCCACTTTTTGTTTGAAATATATGAATAGCCATGAAATTTGAAAAGTATGTCTGAGTGACCTCCTTTTTGGATAACATACTCTGACACCTCAAAATTTGTAAACTAACAAAGTTTAAGGATTCTAAGCCTTACTTGAAATATTTCAATACTGCCTGTAATTCCACAAGTGACCTACGTTTTAGTAGTCACATAACGAAGACCTAATTCTATTCCGTTCAGTAACTAAATTATTTAAATACTGCCATAAAATTCTGAAAGTAGGTAATTGTGGTGTACTTCTCAGTTAAAATACCTAAGATGCATAAACTGGCAGTTTGATAATCCTATGCCAACCTGAAATATTCAAATAAATTATTAAACAAGAGGCCCATGGGCCACATCGCTCAACTGAGCTAGGAAAAAAAATGGAATCATGGTTTGAACAAATGTGAATACATGTACATTACCAATAATGATGCTTCCATATCAATATAACTAAACATGGCTTTTCTGTACTATAAAAGAGGATTTTTTATATAAAAAAGTTTGATTGTTTATTTTGCTCCGCCCTACCTTGGGGGTCATGATTTGAACAAACTTGATTCTACACTACCTGAGGATGCTTCCACCTAGTTTTATCTTTCTTGGCCCAGTGGTTCTTGAGAAGATTTTTCCTATATATTCCTATGTGAAACTTTTGATTCCCTATTGTGGCCCTGCTCTACCCCCGGGGTCAGGATTTTTTTTTAATAGACTTGATTCTACACTACCTGAGAATGCTTCCATTTAAGTTTCATCTTTCTTAGCCGAGTGGATCTTGAGAAGATTTTTAAAAGATCCCATTAATTTTTCACTAATTCATAATTATCTACCCTAGATTTTAATTTATCTGCTGAAGGGTGTGGCCCTTCATTTGAACAAACTTGAATCTCCTTCACCTGAGGATACTTTTTGGCAAGTTTGGTTGAAATTGGCCCATTGGTTCTTGAGAAGATGAAAATGTTAAAAGTTTACAACGACAACAACAATAACGACGACAGACAACAGTGAGCTAAAAATGATGTTAAATATGGCCACAGCATTCAGAAAAAAATTGCAAAATACCTTAATTTTGATCAATTCTCAAAAACTTACTTGTTTACCTGCCATTTTCGTCCGACATACGTCGTTTGTCAGTCATAAACTTTTGAACATTTTTAGCTTCTTCTCTGGAACTAATGAACCAATTCCAACCAAATTTGGTATACAGCATCTATGGGTGAAGGGGAAGAAAAATTTTGAATTTTATGGTCCCCGCCCCCTGGGGCCTGAGGGATGGGGCCAAAACCCCTAAAATTAATGAAATCTTTAAAAATCTTCTTTACTCCTGGACATCAAGCAGTCAAACTGTTGGTATGAATGTAATGAACATTGAGTCCTAGTGCAAGGGCGGGGCTATATAGATTATAAAGTGAAAATGCCTAATTTCTTTGAAAATCTTCTTTGCTCCTGGATATTAAATAAACTAACTAAGTACATAGATATGATAAGCAAGAGTGCCTATTCCAAAATTATGAATTTTATGGCCCCAGGGTCAGGGGTTCTGCTGTTAGGGCAGGCTCTGTTGATTATATAGTGAAAAAACATTAATTCTGTGAAAATCTTCTTCAGAATCTCTGTTCCTCGGTACATGTATTATATAAACTAATTAAGTACATAGTTATGATGAGCAAGAGTGCTTTATACAAAATTGTGAATTTCATGGCCCCAGGGTCAGGGGTTCTGGTGTTAGGTCTGGCTCTGCTCCTGGGTATTAAATAAATTAACTAATTAATAGTTATGATAAGCAGGATGCCTCTTTCAAAATTGCGAATTTTATGGCCCCAGGGTCAGGGGTTCTGGTGTAAGGGCGGGGCTCTATTGGTAATATAGTGAAAATGCAATAATTCTTTGAAAATCATCTTCTCTAGATCTGCTCCTAGGTATTAAATAAACTAACTTAGTATAAGTACATAGTTATGATGAGCAAGAGTGCCTTGTTGCAACCACTATTGAAATAACGACCACTATTGAAATGATTATTTCAATAGTGGTTGAGAGTGCATTTCAATAACAAACATAATATGCAAACACTATTGAAATATGACCATTATTGGAATAATTATTTCAGTAGTGGATTGGAGTGTACTTCAATACCAAATACTAGTATAGGTTGCTAACACTATTGAAATAATGTTCACATTTGAAAGTAGTTCAAGAGGATTGAAGTGTCCGTGTATTAATTGAAATTTCTGCAAAAAATATTATGTTAGAAAAGAGAATGTACATGTAATCCATCCTTATATTTATTTTAATATTTTGGATACTTCTATAGAGCTTGCAATGTTATTTTGGAATTAAAATCATTGTCAGCAACTGTTAATTATTTTGATATCTATTGGAATCATTGTTTAAAGCACTATTGAAATCAATATTTCAATCACTTTTGAAATATATGTTAATCGCTATTGAATATTTATTTCAAAAGTGAAAATTATTTCAATAGTGGTTGAAACCTATGTTTGGAATTAAAATGCACTCCAAACGGTGTGTTCCCTGAACGTCTACTCATTATAAATTTATTTTATTATCACCCTCAATTAAGGTAATTCCACTCTCCTATGATGTCATAGGTTTTTGCAAAAACTGTTTTTACTTTGAATTAATACCTGATAGCACAAAATCTTTTGTAGGAATGCTTTTCAGTAAGTGTACTGATAAATCTTGTAAAGTAAAGGAATTTTAAAAATGCATTTTTCTTTATTTAATCAATTATTCAATCCTTAAAAAATATTGACAAGGGCAATAACTCCTTCTCAGGTCTCAATTCAAAAGTGTTTTATAAGTAGGAAGTATGTAGGAACATACAGCATCAGAATTATGCATTTTAACCAGTTTTGAAATATTTTTCATAATACTGTTTACAAAAAATGTGCAAGTGTTTTTGTTGACATATACTTCTGTTTATTTATGTCTCCCATCTTAAATAATATGGCAACCTATACATTTTTTGCAATAATTGAAAATTTTAAAGTATATTAAATGAAAATAAATGCAGTTTTAAGCTCACCTGAGCCGAAGGCTCAAGTGAGCTTTTCTGATCACATTTTGTCCGTCGAAACTTTTCACATTTTCGACTTCTTCTCAAGAACCACTGGGCCAATTTTGACCAAACTTGGTACAAAGCATCCTTGGGTAAGGGGAATTTAAATTGTTAAAATGAAGGGACATATCCCCTCGCAAGGGGAGATAATCAAGAAAAGACAAAAATAGGGTGGGGTCATTAAAAAATCTTCTTCTCAAGAACCACTGGGCCAGTAAAGCTGAAACTTATGTGGAAGCATCCTGGGGTAATGTAGATTCTAAATTATTCAAATCATGACCCCCAGGGGAAGGGCGGGGCCACAATGGGGAATCAAAGTTTTATATAGAAATATATTATAAAAATCTTTGAAAATCTTCTTCTCAAGAACCACAGGGCCAGAAAAGCTGAAACTTATATGGAAGCATCCTGGTATAGTGTAGATTCTAAATTGTTCAGATCATGACCCCCAGGGGAATAATATATACAATGGGGAATCAAAGTTTTACATAGAAATATATAGGAAAAATCTTTAAAATCTTTTTTAAGAAACAGGGCCATGAAACTTATGTGGAAGCATCCTGGTATAATGTAGATTCTAAATTGTTCAAATAATGGCCCCCCGGGGGATTGGTGGGGCCACAATGGGGAATTTTTATATAGAAATATATAGGAAAAATCTTTGAAAATCTTCTTCTCAAAGAAAAGCTGAAACTTTTTAGCAAAAGGGACTTACGACTTAAGACCAAATTTAATTCTTCATATAACTTTTTAATAAACATTATATCGAAAATTATTTTGATTTTTTTTTTTAAAAATGTGTTAAGATATTTTTACACAAATCAGTTGGAAGAGAATTGATAATCTTGCAAAATTTTACAATAATCTGAAGTTTTTGGTCTTAGTCGTAAGTTCTTTTGTAAAACTGGCCCCTGGTTTAGTGTAGATTCTAAATTGTTCAAATCATGACCCCCAGGGGAAGGGCGGGGCCTCAATGGGGTATCAAAGTTTTACATAGAAATATATAGGAAAAATCTTTGAAAATCTTCTTCTCACCACTGGGCCAGAAAAGCTGAAACTTATGTGGAAGCATCCTGGTATAATGTAGATTCTAAATTGTTCAAATAATGACACCCGGGGGAAGGGCAGG